AAAAAAAAAAAAAAAAAGGATTTAATAGGGATAAGTGGAAATTAATGGAAGGAGCAGCAGAAGTTTGAGCATATAATTTAAAGAAAAAGGTAATAAAGAATAAAGAGTTCTGTGAAATATTAAGAGATCAGAGGAGAGGGTAGTGGTGGTATAAATACATGAATTTCTCTTTTTTTTTAAAATTGCATTTTAGGTTTTGGGGTACATGTGAAGAACATGCAAGATTGTTGCATAGGTACACACGTGGCAGTGTGATTTGCTGCCTTCCTCCCCATCACCTATATCTGGCGTTTCTCCCCTTGCTCTCTCCCGAACTCCCCACCCCCCACTGTCCCTCCTCTATTTCCCCCCAACAGACCCCAGTGTGTAGTGCTCCCCTTCTCAAAAAACAGTGCTCTTAAGTGTATTTAGATGAAAGGTAACCATCTGAACTCAGTGTAAATTGTTAAAAATAGTTATTTGATTTTTTCATACTGTATATTATTTTGTTAAGTTATTAAAACTCTGAAAGAACAAAAGGGGGAAGTATGTAAGTTGTTTTATAACAGGACTTGGGGGCTAGATATCAATTTTGTGTGTGTGGTTACTTTTCTTGCTTTTATTAGATTTTTCAAAGGGTTCCATGCACAAAAAGTCTAACCACCGATTTAGAGATTTTTATCTACTAAATTCTAGGAGGAATTTGTTCCATAGATGAAGAGCAAGGCAGTGCTCATGTGAGCGATTGGATATGAAACCACTCAAATATATCTTATTTTAGTGTTGATTTGAACATGTTGACTACTGGTAAAGTTTTTGGTTGGTGGTTATTTAGCAAAACAAACTTCATTCTTGAAGACCGTTTTTGAATTCAGAGCTGCTTCTGTAATTACCATAGTCCTGTTGATTCTTTCCTGAATTCTCGAATTTCTTTCTTCTCACTGTTCTATCCCTCCTATCACTTTACTGCAGGTTGCTGTCTTTTTAAACTGGATTACCACATCAGCCTTTTAACTGTTCTTCCTGCCTTTGTCCTTGTCCCACTCCGACTGGTCCGTATAGCAGCTAAGAGTGGGTCCTGTCACTCCCTTTCTTGAAACTGTTTAATTATATGCCAACCAAATTTGCATGACCCTCCACAATGTGGCCATGACCACCTTACCAGTTTCCTTTCCTGCCACATTACTCACAAATCCAGCCATACTTTTCAGTTCCTCAATACATTGTTTCCTGCTCCTGGACCTTCCCATTTTATCTGAAACACTCAACCCCTAGGTATTAGGTCTTTGCCCTCCTTTAGGAAGCATTCCCTGATGTCCTAGGCTTAGTTAGGTGTTCTTCCAGTGTGCCACCGTAATCCACTATCCAGTATTACTGCTTGATACCCTCTGTCTAGTTCCTGCGTATCTTTTACACTTGAATGTAAATTTGTTGAGAACAGGGACCTTGTCTGTCTTCTTCAGCATTGTATAGTCTTTGCAATGTGCTCAGCATATAGCTGGCACCTAATATTTACTGGGTAATGGAATATAATTTCAGCCATTCAAATTTAAGACTTCATTTGTTGCTTTTTCTGCTTTTTAATTTGCAGTGTTGGTAGCCTTATATGAAGAACCAGAGAAACCTAACAGTGCTTTGGAGTATCCTTTCATCTTTCAAGTCAGAAACAGGCTTTATTTTGAAACTCTTAATTTTTTTAGATAGTTAATAAACTTTAGGCTGGGTGCGGTGGCTCACACTTGTAATTCCAGCACTTTGGGAGGCCGAGGAGGGTGGATCAGGAGGCCAGGAGTTTGAGACCAGCCTGGCCAACGTGTAAAACCCCTTCTGTACTAGAAATACAAAAATTGGCGTTCTCTTTCCGGTTCTTCCCGGAGTCGGGAAAAGCTGGGTTGAGGGGGCGAAAAACAAAAAAAGAAATACAAAAATTAGCTATGCATGGTGGCATGCGCCCATAATCCCAGCCACTCGGGAGGCTGAGGCAGGAAAACTGTTTGAACCCAGGAGGAAGAGGTTGCAGGTGAGCTGAGATTGCGCCATTGTATTCTGGCTCTGGGTGACAGAGCAAGACTCTGACTCGGGGTGGCGGTAAAAGAAAAAAACCTTTAAAATACTTCTGAATATTGAGAAAGTTATTTTCACTTGAGTTTTTGGATGGTGATCGTGGGTAGATATTGGTGGTAAAGTGGGTGACTCTGGTCAGGGATATTGATACTACTCTGTGCTATTTTATTAGTTTGATTCAAGCCTAAGAAGTAAGTTCTTAACATTGATAATAGTTTTTTAAAGCATCACTTAGGAGCTGCTACCCCAGAAAATCCAGAAATAGAGCTGCTTCGCCTAGAACTGGCTGAAATGAAAGAGAAATACGAAGCTATTGTAGAAGAAAATAAAAAACTGAAAGCAAAGGTAAATTTTTAGAAAGAATTCATATTAAAATAATTTTACCTTTAATAATTACATAATGAAAACCTCACTAAAATGGAGAGGTGGGTAGGGAGGTGGGTGAATATCAATTCGAATTAATTATAATGTAAGGCCAAACTTAAGCAATACAAGCTGAAAGTAGGACAAGCAAAGTGTGATCAAGAAGAGGTTCTGGCCAGGCATGGTGGCTCATGCCTATAATCCCAGCACTTTGGAAGGCCGAGGTGGGCAGATCATCTGAGGTCAGGAGTTCGAGACCAGCCTGGCCAAAATGGTGAAACACCATCTCTACTAAAAATATGAAAATTAGCTGGGAGTGGTGGCAGGCACTTGTAATCCCAGCTACTCAGGAGGCTGAGGCAGGAGAATTGCTTGAACCCAGGAGGTGGAGGTTGCAGTGAGTCAAGACGGTGCCACTGCACTCCAGCCTGGGCAACAAGAGCAAAACTCTTGTCACAGAAAAAAAAAAAAGAATTCTTAGGAATCTGCATCAACAAAAAGATAGGAATATTCGTTAATACTGTTTATAAGTAAATGGACAGTTCTGAGGTTCTTAAGCAGTTGATTTTAAGTAGGCCAGTATGGGGCCACTGCTTTATAAATTGCACCTCTTAGTATTTGTACAGTTCATAGTCTGCAAGGCCATATGTGGTGGCCCTCTGTAAATTTGTTTGCACTTAATTTTATCTAGCGCTAAAGTTTTTTCTTTCTTTTTTTTTGAGACAGGGTATCACTCTGTTACCCAGGCTGGTGTGCAGTGGTGCAGTCACGTCTCACTGCAGCCTTGGCTTACCAGGCTCAAGCAATCCCCCGACCTCTGCCTCCCGAGTAGCTGGGACTGCAGGCATTTGCCACCATGCTCGGCTAATTTTTACATTTTTTGTAGAAATGGGGTCCCACTATGTATTGCCCAGGCTGGTCTCAAACTCCTGGGCTCAAGCATTCCTCCTGGGTTGGCCTCCCAAAGTGTTGGGATTATAGGCATGAGCCACTGCACCCAGCCAGTTTTTTTCTTTTTTCAAACTCCTGTGAGGATTTTCAGAAACTTCAAATTGGTCAACTCTGAGTCTTGGAGGTTTTACCACATTCTTAATCACGCAATGTTTTACATTACTCTTAAGTATTTCTCCTAATGTATTTTATCTTCTCAGCGACTTGGTGAGATAAGTGCAACAAGTACACGAACTGCCTTATAGGTGAGGACAGGAAAGCACAGTGAAGACTGATAAGCTCCTCAAACCCAGCAGGTTGTTGGCAGAACCCTAACGTTAGCCTAGTGTTCTTGCAAGGAAGCACCCTTAGCATAAAAGAAAATGCAGTTATTTTGAATTATCCAAGATTCCACAATGTGTAAATGCTTGTTAACTCTTTTGAACCTTTTAACTCAAAGACATTAGTTGTTTATTGGCTGTCTAGATTAAGACAAGTCACGTAACTACCTACTTTTCAGTGGGTATCTTCAGTGAACTTTTGGTGGAGAGGAAGAAAGCTTATCAGCAAATGAATCTTGGGAAGATATAGTTTATTGCATATCAAGTATTTGAACAGTGCAGTCATGAACTGGAATGAAATTTTAGTTTCAAAGTAATTTTAAAGGTTTATATGAAAAGGGCATTCATTAGATTTGATTGCATTAGATCTTAAATCACTGAATGATTTAAAATGGATGGTCATAGAAACTGATAATAATACAATTTACTGACTTAACTAAGTTGAATATAATAGTTAACTTGTTTTATTACTATTTTTTACCCAATTTAGAAGAAAATTCACCTAAATTCCTCTGTCTTTGCCCCATAGCTTGCTCAGTATGAACCACCTCAGGAGGAGAAGCGTGCTGAATAGGATTCTTCTCAGTTGAAAGACAATGAAAAATGGTTTTGTATGACTTGAATAGTTTGTATAGTATATAATCTTTTTTGAACAGATGCTATAGAACTCTTTTAATATGTTTAATTCACTTGTCACATTCTGTTAAAAACACATAGAATCATCAATAAAAACTCAATGTAACTTTCTTTGGGTCTTAAAGCAGGAGAATCCAAAGTAAATCCTGAAAAAACCTAAACACAGCCATCTAACTCATTACCTTAAAAGACATTCTGTTTATTAGTCTGATTAGGAATGATGGCACTGGTTGTATTTTAGCCAAGGCAGTTTAGCATGGAGCTATTCCTTGGTGTAGTTCAGGATATGAACACAGGTACAGTCATTCTTTGAAGGTGACACTGTTGTATATATTCCCTATAGGCAGCTGGAGAGATCTGTGTGACACAAGATGCTTTTGTACGGGTTCTCATGAATCTTCTGCTCTTGTTTGTGTAACATGGAACAAACAACTCTTCTTTGCCACCACTTTGCCTTAGAAAACTGTGTGTGTGTGCCAGTTTGAACTCTGACACCATATTTTCCTTCTATGCAATCATGGCTTGTCTGATAATCTTGGATTGGTTTGCTCTGAGCTTTAGTGGGTCCTAGTTGCACACTGGCCTTTCTGTGCTGTTTTTCAATTTGCCTAATAGCAGTTACCCTCATTGTAATTTATGTAACTTTAAACAGGATCATACTGTACCCCCTCTCTGCCGTATCTGCTTACTGAGCACAGAACAGAGGCAATATACAACTCTGGGTTCACACATGAGCTGGGATGAGAAGAGTGAGCCATATATTGTGGAAAATCATAGTTTGTAGGTATAATTATACAGTGCTTTTTTTCCCCTCAAAATATTTTTCTAGCCCTGGATTCATTTTATTATCCCTGTGATGTAGGTGGGGCAAGTATGAGGGGAAGTTGGGTGCTGAATTTTTAGGCCAAAGACTGATATTAATACAAATCACTCACTAACTGTAGAGCCTTGGGCATATCAGTGAACTGCTCTGAGATTTACCGTCTTCATCTGTTTAATGAGAAGAATATCCATGATGCCTACCTCACAGGGTTGTTGTGAGGGTCAAATGAGAATGTATGTGAAAGATTTGTAAATGGTAAAGTACTATATTCTTGTTTGTTAGTCCTTTTTCCTTTCTTTGGGTAGACCTACAGTCAGATGTTTTGTTTTATTGATCGCTTATTTTCCTTATTGATAGACCTCCCTGTTGTTAGAGAACGTATCTTTGTTTTTGGTCAAAACATACATAGAAAACAAAATGATCCATTGAAAACTGGTTTAACTAGCAAAAGCCTTGGTACTTGTTAGAAACTATGACCAAGCCAATTACAAGGGCATTTAAATCAGTCGTGTTAGCAGGAATGTGGCAATGGCTGGTGCCTCTTCTAGTCACAAGTTTGTTTTTGGAGGGGAGCCAGAAGAACATTTGCCTGAATAGATTGTCTTTTTTACTAATTTGACTGCCTCCTACATGGGCAGCAGTGGATTAAGTGCTGGGTGTGATAAAGAGGAATGACTTAATTGAGACATTTATATAATCAGATACAGTGTGGGTTAGGACCTGTGACAAACCATTATAATAAAACATGGCCCCATGAGGGTTTTGGAAGAGAGAGAGCCTTGGCTTCTTTAGTTGGTATGACAGTTTCTTGGTATACACAGGCCGAAATTTTTTTTGTGGCAGCCAATCCTCGTGCTTTTTACTCATTGGATTAGTATTAATATTTGTGTCAGTAAGGTAGGTGACTATGACTGTCTTTTGTACTATCCTTTTTGAACAGAATGGCAACATGTGGGTTGGATAATCACACTTTTAAGCGAAACTGACTTGCTTAAACTGCTGTACCAGTCATTGCTATTTAAGAATTCAGGATCAGCCTAGCCTCTAGAGGTCCTCATCAACATTTCTGTCAAGGATTTGGATGAAGACAATATAATATACAAGATGCTCGACTGAAGAGAAAATGGATCCCATCAGTTAAGCTCCTGCTACAAAATATCAACTTCATATCTTGCCTACCTCACAAGGTTGTTGTAAGAATCAAATTAAATACAATGGTTGTAAAAGTGCCTTGCAAACTGTAAAGGATTATGTACAGACCAGATGGTAGTAGTGCCAAATCTGTAAGTGACACAAATTGGAAAGTCTGGTTGGAAGACTATATTGAAACAAGCTTTAAAATGATTAACCACCTGGAGTACCCAAACTGCTGGACCTAAATCAAAAAGTTTAAATATCAAGTCTTACATTTAGGTTAAAAAAATGCACTTACACACATTTAGGCACTAGGATAGCTGACAAAGTGTTAGTTCCAGTGATTATCAACTTGAACCACCCTATAGATACTTAATTTCCATTCTGAAAGGCACGAATAGAAATATTGTCTAGGCATTAAATATTCTGAAAGTCGTTTAGTATTGCTTTGTAGGAGTCAGATGTTTGGTGGATATTGACAAGGCTGAATGCATATAAGGAGTGACCAATAGAGGATCTGAATGTATAAGGCAGGGCTCTCCAATAAGGAACTAGCTACAAGTGGCAGTTAAAAATTTAAGTTCCTCAGTTACACTAGCAACATTTCGAGTGCTCAGTCCTCCTATGACTAGCAGCTACGTGTTTGACAGTGCAGGTAAAGAACATGTTTATCAGGTATATCGGTTGTATTGAACAGCACCATAGAATGGTTGAATGAACAGGATGTTTAGCAAGGAATGGGGAAGACTTAGTGGGTAATGAATACTGCAATCTGGTATTTGAAGTGCAGTCATGAAAAAGATGAGGACTATTTTCTTCTATTATAAGCTTCAGGGAGTGTAGTTTGGCTTGAATGATAAATGTTTAAACAAAGGTTTACCACAGTAGAGTTGGCTGCCTTTCGAGGTGGTGAGCTCTCTTCCCTTCGCACTACTTTAAGAGCGTTCTGCATGTCTATTAGACACTACAGAGTTGGTTTTAGGTGGCAGTTAGAGCCACACTCTAAGGGTGTATCCTACCTCTAACTTCTGGATTCAGACAAAACTAAAGTCCCAGACCTGCCCTCATGTGCGAATTTTTCCTTCATAATCAAGAAGTCAGTCTCCTTGGAGGGCTGGGAGCACCCCCCCATTCCTGTACTTAAAAATTGTATAGGGCTGTGCTTTAAGAGGATCTGATTGTCAAAGGTAAAAAAAAAAAACTCCTCTAGATTTCTCAGACGTATTTGGTGACAAGGATTTGCTTTTGCTTGCTTTCATTATTCAATGCTTTGGTCTCTAATCTGAACGAGGTCATAGAAGAGGCAGTGATCTATGGGGGATGGAATTCCTGGAGAATTAGACTGACTAGGCGGGAAGGAGGGCAAACTGAGTCCCGTTCGGTTTAAAGTGGCAGCAGTTTCCACTATCTGCGAAGGAGGTAAGATGTTCTAGCTTGGCTGCATCTGCTTTCCTGTCAGGGTCCAGCTACTTGCTAGAACAAACTATCACAGTGACCCACGACTCTGCCTTGGTTGAGGTCTGCCCTTAGTCTGGCTGGCTCCCCCATACCTTTGCACATCCCAACCGTATCCATCCACCCAGATCTGCTCAGATGCGTTCTCATCCAACTCCCGAGCATTATTTATCCGTGACCTTCCCACGTAATATTTCATACCGAGGTTACTTACACAGAGGTCCGATCTCTCTGTTCATCTTCAAGCAACCTGAGGGCAGGCAGGATCCGAGTCTGATCCAGTTCTGTGCCCCTTGGTAGGCACCCAGGGCACTGCAGGCATCAATAAATATTGGTTGGGCAAGTACAGTTGTAGGATGAGGACAATCAGTTCTTCCCCCAAATTCCGGAAGGGCATCTCCATAGCTGTGCTCTGGGAGCCCGGAAGAAGGCAGGGGAACGGTGCGGCCAGCGGCGCTAGTGGGCCGGGGCGGAGGGCAGACGGCCGGAGTCCGGGCGGGAGGCGCGGCCGGGCCGCCCTCCTCGTGACTCCTCCTCCCCCCTCAGCGGCTGCGAGTCAGGTGATTCCGGCACGTGATGGGGCACCACCTACCCTGCTGCTCTCGAGTGGCAGCTCGGGCGGCCAATGAGCGTCTGCGCTTCGGCTCGGGGCCTATGAGAGCCGGGCTCTGGGGGGCGGGCCGGACGGTGGCGGCTGCCGGGGGCGGCGGCGGCGGCGGCGGCGGCAGACTGGGGAGGCGGCGGCCTGGCTTGGCTTGGCTTGGCTTGGCCTGGCCTGGCCTGTCAGGGCGCGGGCGGCGGCGGCTCCAGCACCATGTCCCTGCAGTACGGGGCGGAGGAGACGCCCCTCGCCGGCAGTTACGGCGCGGCCGATTCGTTTCCCAAGGACTTCGGCTACGGCGTGGAGGAGGAGGAAGAGGAGGCGGCGGCGGCGGGCGGCGGGGTTGGGGCAGGGGCAGGCGGAGGCTGTGGTCCGGGGGGCGCTGACAGCTCCAAACCGAGGATTCTGCTCATGGGGCTCCGGCGCAGCGGCAAGTCCTCCATCCAGAAGGTGAGCGGGGCCGCGCCGGGCCCCCCGCCCCCTCCTCGGGGCTCAGGTGCCTGGCGGCGGGGACGCCTGGGAGGGCGGCGGCCGGGGCCCTCCTGCGCTCCGTCCCTCCGCAGTTTCTCTCCGACTCTTGGGAGCGCACAGGCGCGGCTCCGCGCTGGGATCCCGACCTCTGCGTCCACGCCCAAGTCAGCTGAGGCCAAGTGGAACGTTGAAGGCGAAACTGGCTGCAGGGAGGCAGGTGCCCGGTGGCACCGCCCAAGACCTCCGCTGGGACCCAGTCCCTGTGTCATTTACGAAACTGAGACGCACTCTCCAGTTCTCACTTGGAGAACTTCGTGGACATCCCCCCCGACCCGTTTTGATTTGTTCTTCTCACTTCAGGTGACCTGAGTGTGCAGGGATTCCCAGCAGAGCCCCAGGGAGCCGCGTCAGAGTTGTGACTAAGACACTGAGCGTTGTAATGCTTGCTTTCGCTACTGGTGTGAAGGAGACTTCGCTGTAGCGTTACTGGAAATTGGGTAGTGAGGTTGCACCCATTTCAGTAGTTGTGACCTGGTGATGTTCCCCCTGTAGGTGTGTGTTTATAAAAATCTGACACTTTGAGAATATTTTGCAGACCTAGTCTGTTTTCACTTTTGGGCTTTCATCAACAAATGGAGGGCTGTACACGTTGTTTTTGTTTTTTTTTTGTTTGTTTTTGTTTTTGAGACTGAGTCTCGCCCTGTCACCCAGGCTGGAGAGTGCAGTGGCTCAATCTCAGGCTCACTGCAACCTCCCCTCCCGGGTTCAAGCTGTTCTCCCACCTCAGCCTCCTGAGTAGCTGGGCATTACAGGTGTGCGCCACCATGCCCAGATAATTACTGTATTTTTAGTAGAGACGGGTTGGCCAGGCTAGTCTCGAACTGCTGACCTCAAGTGATCCGTACGCCTCAGCCTCCCAAAGTGCTGAGATTACAGGTAGGAGCCACCACACCGGCCTACACTGTTTAGTAAGGGGGAAATAGAGGCAAAGTTGACTTCCTCCATTAGCAAAACCCATTACGCGTGGAGTAAGCTGGGTAATAAAACTAGTATCAGCAGGCACCTGGTCTTTTCACCTCTCTGTTGCAAAGGTCTGTCCAAAATAAATCTGTGATTTTTTTTTCTTTTTTTAAATTCTGACTGATATTTTGTAGATGGGATCTTTTTTAAAAGCAGCTTTCTTCCAGATTTGCTGGAGTACTGTGTTTTATTTACCTTGATTTTCACCTCTCCAGCAAGTACAGAATATCAGATGATTAGGAGATGTGGCTTACGTCCTTGAGTCCTAGTTAACCTTTCCAGCAAAATTTGGGTACATTGACTGTAGATTTTTAGCAGACTAATTTTCGTTGTTCACGTTTGTTACTGAGAAAACTTTGAGAGTAATTGTTTATTTTTCTTGTCTAGAAAGAGGCAAGGTAGTTTTATGTTAGAATTTTGTAGGTTGTGAATATTGTGATTCTTTTTTTTTTTTTGACATGGGAGTCTTACTCTGTCGTTCAGGTTGGAGGGCAGTAGCTCAGTCTCCACTCACTACAACCTCGGCCTTCTGGGTTCAAGTGATTCTCCTTCCCGAGTAGCCGGGACTACAGGCGTGCACCACCTAGCCCGAGTAATTTTTGTATTTTTAGTGGAGATGGGGTTTTCACCATGTTGGTCAGGGTGGTCTCGAACTCCTGACCTCAAGTGACCCGTCCATCTCGGCCTCCTGAAGTGCTGGAATTGCAGGTGTGAGCTACCGATTATTGTGATTCTTAACAATTGCCTTTACATTTCTTTTCTCATGGGAGCTGCCTTTTCCCTGTTAGTCCCTGTGGTCTCCTCCTAGATGTTTTCACTTTCTACTTGGTATAGTTACTCCCCTTCTTTTATTTCTTCCACTAGACTGCAAAGTCAGTGAGGGCATAGTCCAGTCTGTTTCACTTTTTAAAATTACTCCTCAGAGCCTGAGGTAGGCATTAGAGTAATTTTTGAATAAACCAGAGTTCTTAAGCTTTAGCTATAAAGCTTTTATAATCTTCAAGCAGATTTTGACAGAATTAATATTAGCTTTCCCCCAGAAAAACTGGTGGAGGTGATGCAGATTGCTGCTATTAGTACTGAGTATGCAGAAAACATAGGAAAGATTTAGCTTCAAAATAGATTTAATGCAAATTAATTTGGTGTCTTGTCAAAAATAAAGGGACAGTGATTACCAGTGGATTCACCATTCAGTTTCTACTTTTCAAAATTTTTTTTTGCTATGGGATCAAATTTTTAAATGTTAAACCAGGGTGGAACTTTAAATTTAAATTCTGAAGTTTAATACTCATAAAATTGCCTGTTTTTCTTTTAACAGGTGGTGTTTCATAAGATGTCACCCAACGAGACCCTGTTTTTGGAAAGTACCAACAAGATTTATAAGGATGACATTTCCAATAGCTCCTTTGTGAATTTCCAGATATGGGATTTTCCTGGGCAAATGGACTTTTTTGACCCAACCTTTGACTATGAGATGATCTTCAGGGGAACGGGAGCATTGATATATGTCATTGATGCACAGGTAGTTAGGAATGTGTTTACTCCTCTTCCCTGGTGGGAAAAAGATGTAGAAACAAAGGAAAGTTGTTTATCTTATTTGTCATGTGCGTGTAGTTTCTCTCTTAGGCAGTGGATTCCGTAACAGTGTAAGAGATGTAGTGGCAGAGGTGCTTTGGGAACAGGCATGCCACTGTGCAAGTACAGAATATCAGATGATTAGGAGATGTGGCTTACATCCTTGAGTCCTATTAATGAGCAGCTAACGTTGGCCTTACATTTTGATTGGTTAATGGTAGATGTGGCTATACTCTATAGTAATAGTAATGTCATTTCCTGAAAAGACCCCATCCCATAACATAAAGAGGAATTTGAGAACTGAGTCAGTAGATATTAGAGCAAATAGTTTACTTAGTTGTCCAAATTGAGTGTAGCTCAGTAAGCATTTATGGAGGGCCTAGCATGTGGCAGTCAGTCAGATGAATGGACAAGTCCCTATCCTTTAAGAAGCTTACTTTTTATAAGCTTAAGCGTTAGTTAAGAATGCTTTGTGAGTGATAGTCTCTGCAGAGGGTGCCTTCACATACAGGATCTAATTAATTTAATCTTCACAATATTGTTAGGTAGATAATGTAATTCTGACCTCACAGATAAGTAAACTGAGAACAGAGTTTAAGCAACTTGCTTAAAGTGACACACTGAATAAATGGCAGAGCTGGGATTACTTTAAAAAATTATATTGGGAAGAAATGTTTATTTCCTTTTACCTTTCTTAAATTAGTGTTAAAAATTACAAGCGTTAACCTGGTAATTGAATTTTTCATCTTGAGACAATTGAAGAGTTATTTAGTACTATAGTTAATATATTTGACTGTTTGAATATTGTTGATACTTAGGATAGCATATTTTCTGTGGTTGGAGAAGAAGGTGGTTTGAGGCTTTCTTAACTCATTACTTGTGAGATTTATTTTTAAAAAATACTTTGTTCTGACTTACAGGATGACTACATGGAGGCTTTAACAAGACTTCACATTACTGTTTCTAAAGCCTACAAAGTTAACCCAGACATGAATTTTGAGGTTTTTATTCACAAAGTTGATGGTCTGTCTGATGATCACAAAATAGAAACACAGAGGGACATTCATCAAAGGGCCAATGATGACCTTGCAGATGCTGGGCTAGAAAAACTCCATCTTAGGTAACAACGTGTGTGTTTGATATGAGAGCCCTGAACAATGTGTAAATGTATTCCCATCTCTGTCATTTTAAACACTATAGCTTTCTGCTACCTGTATGCCTTTTGCCAAGTCTTTTATGTTTTTGATCTCTTTGTTGAATTCCAAGCTGTCTGGGAGCCTGATGTTGAGAAATTACCTACTTTTTGCCTTTTCCTGGAGATTGAAGTCGTGTGAAGTGTTTCCATTGGTGCTTTTCCAAATTCATCTCAAGAGACTGGAGTCAGGCTGTTTCTTCATGGTATAAATCTGCTTTGGGACTCTTTCCTTTTGGTTTCATTAATTCCCCCCTGCCCCGCCTCAGTGAGGTGAATTTGTCACATTTGTTGTAGGAAGCTTTAGCAAGAGTCTTAGACAATATTTTTCTCAGTGGGAATGGCCTTATACAGAGAGTACACTTTCAAATCTGGATTGACTCTTCATCTTTATTTTTCCTGCTGGCTCCCTTCCACCTCCCACCCCTGGACTGACGCTAATATATCTTAGCTTTTAAAACACTTTAACCTTTTTTTTTTTTTTTTTTGAGATGGAGTTACGCTCTTGTTACCCAGGCTGGAGTGCAGTGGCACGATCTTGGCTCACTGCAACCTCCGCCTCCTGGGTTCAAGCAATCCTCCTACCTCAGCCTCCCGAGTAGCTGGGACTACAGGCTGGGCCACCATGCCCAGCTATTTTTTTTTGTATTTTTAGTAGAGACGGGGTTTCACCATGTTGACCAGGATG